TAGTAGTAATTAATTAGTTACATAGTAGGTATTTAGTTGATTAGTTATTTGATAAGGTATGAGTGAAATGTATGAATGAGGATGAGAGCATGGCGAACCGGACAGGCTCATCGGGATGGGGGAGTAAGTGTGTATGTATTGTTTTTGTATCACAGATCCGCTTCTCTCATCCAGCGAGGGAATGTTTTACACCAGGTGGGTTTTGATTCGGTAAGAATCCGACACTCCCTTGGGTACCGGGCCCAAAGAGCCTTTGAAAGATTTCCCCCTGACGAAAAAAAAAAAAAAAAAAAAAAATGCGTCAGGGTTGCGTCAGGGTTGAAACGTCAAGGTTGCTTTAGGGATGCGTCAGTGCTCAAACGTCGGATTTGCTTTAGGGATGCGTCAGGGTTTGAATGTCGGTGTTGCTTTAGGGATTCGTTAAGTTGGGAACGTTATGGTTGCTTTACTAATGCGTCAGTGTTGTAACGTCGTGGTTGCTTTAAGGATGCGTCAGGATTGGAACGTCGGGTTTGATTTTAGAGATGCGTCAAGGTAGGAACGTCAGGGTTGCTTTAGGGAAGGATCGTCGGTGTTGCTTTAGGGATGCGAAAGGTTTAGAACGTCAGGGTTGCTTTAGAGGTGCGACAGGGTTTGAACGTCGGGGTTGCTTTAGAATTGGAACCTCGGGGATGCTTAAGGGATGCGTCAGGGTTGGAACGTCGAGGTTGCTTTAGGGATGCGTCTAGGTGGGAACGTCGGGGTTGCTTTCAGGTAGGGACGTCGAGGTGCTCTAGGAATGCGTCAGGGTAGGAATGTCGAGAATGCTTTAGAGAAGCGTCAGGGTTAGAACGTCGGGATTGCTTTAGGGATGCGTCAGGGTTGAAACGTCAGGGTCGCTTTAGGGATGCGTCAGAGTAGGAACGACAAGGTTGCTTTAAGGATGTGTCAAGGTCGAAACGTCAAGGTTGCTTTAGGATTACGTCAGAGTTGGAACGTCGGGGTTGCTTTAGGGATGCGTCAAGGTAGGAACGTCAAGGTTGCTTTAAGGATTCGTCAGGGATAGAACGTCAGGGTTGATTTAAGGGGGCGCTAGGGTGGAAACGTCAGGGTTTCTTTAGGGTTGGAACGTCAGGGTTGCTTTAGGGATGCGTCAGGGTTGGAACGTCGGGGATGCTTTAGGGATACGTCAGGGTTGAAACGTCTGAGTTGCTTTAGGGATGCGTCTGGGTTCGAACATCAAGATCGCTTTAGGGATGCTTCAGAGTGGGAACGACATGGTTGCTTTAAGGATGTGTCAGTTTTGCGTCAGGGTTGCGTCAGGGTTGCGTCAGGGTTTGAACGTAAGGGTTGCTTTAGGTTTAGAAAATCGTGGTTGCTTTAGGGATGCGTCAGGGTTAAAACGTATGGGTAGCTTTAAGGATGCGTCAAGGTTGGAACGTCAGTGCAGCTTTAGGGATGCGTCAGGGTTAGAACGTCGGGGATGCTTTAGAGAATCGTCAGGGTTAAATCGTAGCGATTGTTCTAGGGATGCGTAAGGGTGGGAACGTCAAGGTTGCTTTAGGGATGCGTAAGGGTTGAAACGTCGGGGTAGCTTTAAGGATGCGTCCGGGTTGGTACGTCGATGTAGCTTTAGGGATGCGTCAGGGTTGGAACGTCGAGGATACTTTAGAGATGCGTCAGGGTTGGAACGTCAGGGATGCTTTAGGGATGAATCATTGTTAGAATGTCTTGGTGGCTTTAGGGATGCGTCAGGGCTGGAACATCAGGGTTGCTTAAGGGTGGGAACGTCGAGGTTGCTTTAGGGATTCGTCAGAGTGGGAACGACAGGGTTGCTTTGAGGATGTGTAAGGGTGGGAACGTCAGGGTTGCTGTACGGTGGGATCGTCGGGGTTGCTTTACGGATGCGTCAGGGTTGGAACGTCTAGGTTGCTTTAGGGATACGTCAGATTTGGAACGTCAGGGTTGCTTTAGGGATGCGTCAGATTGGAATGTCAGGGTTGCTTTAGAGATGCGTCAGGGTCGGAACACCACGGTTGCTTTAGGGGTGCGACGGGGTGGAAACGTCGGGGTAGCTTTAGGGTTTGAACGTCGGGGTTGCTTTAAGGATGCGTCAGTGTTCCGTCAGGGTTGCGTCTGGGTTGCGTCAGGGTTCCCCCCGTGGGTAGGGGGTAGTAGAATACTCCCACAGTATTCCCTGCTTGTCGTAAGAGGCGACTAAAAGGGAGGGTGTGAATTGTGTGTGTATGTTCTGCGTAGCTATTTCTTTCTGTAACTTTTACTATCCCCTCTTTTCTATTCTTTCTTGTCTCTTACTTCTTTCGTTTCGTTTCCTTTCCTCAAGGCTTGTGCCTACCTATTAACAATATAAATATGGATAGTTCAAGCTTGGAGAAAAACCCGTGTGGGTGGAAAACTCACACAACGGTTGTGCTTAGTGGTGTTAGGACAGGTCATCCATCGTCGACATCATGCACCTGTCAGGAGTCTGTGGTAGGCAACCCRGCCCAGACTCTGGTTAATGCGTCGGGAAGTTGCTCGCGGGTAGGCAACCTGGCCCGCGAATCGACTGACACTACAGAAAGTCGAGGACACTCCGTGGAGGAGGGGCGAAAGTGTGCAATTCGTAGCATCGAGGATCTGGGGACCGACACCATACCGGTGAGAACCCACAAGAGGGCGAGGCCCATCCTGTACTCTTTGTCATCAGAGGACGAGGTGATCAACCTCACTAACATCGAAGAGGTCCTACAAGAGGGGTCATTGGTTTCCAATTAAGAAACTGGAAGGCTGATAGACAAGATTATAGAAAACATCGCTAAAGGCCGAGGTCAAAAGAAAGACTTGTGGCAATATAAAAGGGGAAATATCCGGTAAAATGAAAAGTTGTCATTTGTGGGTGATTGAGATGGCCAGGGAATTGCAGGCATGTAATAGGATAAGCTGCGGCTCTGACACTCAAGAATCCTTACAACAACTAAGGGCAAAAGCAAAAGACACTAAAAACAGGCTTAAACAATTAGAAAAAGAGTGTGTGCGTCTTCGGCGAGAAATTAAGCGCAAGGACGCAATAACTAAAAAAATGTCGAGGGGGGAAGTGAAGAATGTTCCAGTAAAAGTTGCAGCAAACCAGGTCAGATCCTTTGCGGAGGAGAGACAAGTTGCTGCCAGAAAGGAAGAGGAATTTGACAATAAAATGATGGGGAAAGTTTTAACTGAGCTTTCTAGGTCTGTGATCCAGATTCAGCAAGAATTAAGGGATATGAAAACAGGACAAGGTTCATATGCCCAGGTTGCAGCCTGACCGAGGGTTGCTCCCTCACCACCGAGGACAACACCTCTGATCACTGTCCCGGACAGGGATGTGTTTATCGAGGTAAGAAGAAAAAACAAGACTGCTACGCCTGCTGGAGGGCCACTGCATACGCGGAATGTCAGGAAGGATGACCCTCCCGGTAGTCTTCGCGTGGGAGGGGGGGGCCCTTTCGCGGGACCACAGTAGAATAAGAAGAAGAAGAAAAAGAAGAAGAAGACCAGAAGAATTAGGGAGACCGCGGCGGTATCTCTCATGTGTGCAGAAGGTGCCTCATATATGGAAGTTCTTAAGAAGTTAGAAACGGGTGTAAACCTAGGAGAAATAGGGGCAAAGGGGCTCTCGTACAAACGGGGTTTGACGGGATCCTTTATCTGGCAGGTCCGGGGAAGGGATGCCAATGTTAGGGCTGACAGACTTGCACAGGCAATGAACAAGGCCCTACCGGAAGCAAAGATAGCTAGGCCCTAAAGGACTAGCCCCATAAAATTAGTAGGGATCTATCCGGCTACCACCCTGACGGCGATCAGGTGCGGACTACAGAAAGGTAAGGGCAGGATTTGACTCTAACCTTATCTGCATGGGCGAGGTTCACTTGGGCAGGGGCAGTCGCTATAAGGTCACAGTAGTAGCCCACTCGGCACGGTGCCAGGCTGCCATTGATAGTGGTAGTATACTTGTGGGGTGGAGTATTGTCCGGGTGTTCCCGGAAAAGCCTAGACCACTAAGGTGCCACAGGTGTCTGGCGAGAGGCCACGTGGCTGCCTCTTGTATGCACCAGGTGCCAGGATGGGTGTATGTTTTAGGTGCGGGGAACCAGGACATGTAGCAAAGGACTGTGAGGACAAACCAAGGTGCCCGATCTGTTTGGAAGCAGGGCGGTCCCGAACCTCGCACAGAGCTGGGTCATGGAAGTGTCCATTTGTGCCTCCTACTAAGGGAGAGACATCATACTAGGGGGAAGTTGCGGACCGTCAAGGCAAATCGGGATGTGCAAAAAACGTTCCGAGAAGTGCGGGCGAAGAAACAATAGTACAAGGTGATGTAAATAGGGCACGTGTGAGTGTGGATAATGACATGGAGGTTGAGCAGGTGAGCTCTGCCCCTCCATGTAACTAATCAAACTATTTCCGACAATGGCCACGGTCATACAGGCCAATTTAAATCATGCGCGTCGCGCCCAGGACTTATTGGGCCAGCGGATGAGGGAGATTGGTGCGGACATTGCGATAGTTTCGGAGCCGTGGTTGTCCCTCCGAGGGATAAGAAATGGTTCTCATCCCTGGGGGTGTCGCCTCTCTCTGCAATTGTCGCGGGCAAAGGCGAAAGAACCTGTAGCTTGGTGCGTCGAAGTTTGTTTTTTGTAGCCGTTAAATGGGGGAACTCGCTGGTAGTTTCAGTCTACTTCCTCTTCAACGAGAATTTAAATAGTTTTAGTAGACTCCTTGATGTGCTCAAAGAGCTCTTAGGTACATTTCCTGCTATTCCAGCATTAGTTGCGGGGGACTTTAATGCCCTGTTCCCAAGATGGGATCCGGAAGGCAGAAGTAACCCAAGGGGCCAGTTACTCTGTATGTAGGCCAATAGGTTAAACCTAGGCCTGGCTAATCAGGTTGGTCACCCCACGTGCGTTCGACTGCTAGGGTCGAGCGTTGTAGACCTTACGTGGGGGTCTATAGCGGCTAGTGTCCGCTTAACGGATTGGAAGATGGATGAGGCTGAGTCCCTTTCGGACCACTTATATGTTATATTTAAGTATATGCACGAGGCTGCAGGATTCCGAAGCCTTCGCTCTAGGAATGAAATATTCCCTAAATGGGACGCGAGGGCTGTGAGAGAGTACAGGCTTGCGGCAGCCCTTATCTCCAGTGAGTGGATACGAGACGATAGTGACAATGTGCGGGACTTGGTGAAGTGGGTAAACAATACTCTCCTCACTTCGTGCGATATGTCCATGTCAAGGGTGAGGATAACGGCGGACAGGGGTCGTGTGGTGCTATTGTGGTCGTGGGAAATTGCACTACTGCGGGGGACGGCTACAACGGCAAGAAGACGTTATTTAAGGGCCAGAASAGGTGGTGATCCGGTCAGGATTAGGGAGTGTTTGGAGGACAGGAGAGAGAAAAGAAAAAATCTAGTCCGTGCCATAAGGAGGGCCAAGGCCTTAGCTTGGAGGGATTTTATTGCAACGATTGAAGATGATCCTTRAGGGAGACCCTACAGGCTGGTTATGGGTAAATTAAGGGCTCGTRGTGTTCCTCTGACTGAGGCATTGGATCCTCATTTATTGGAAAGGATTGTGGCGACGCTGTTTCCGGAGGGCGGAAGATCAATTGCCCTAAATGTTGAGGTGGGAGATGCGGAAGAATTAGTCGTCACAATTGGGGAAGTACATAAGGTTGCGAAAAGAATTAACCTTGGGAGACCACCGGGTCCTGACGGGATCCCTGGCCTAGTGGTGAAGAGAGCGGCAACACATTGTGGTCAAAGTTTGGTAGAGTGTTTCACCATGTTGCTAAGAAGTGGAGTCTTCCTACAGGTGTGAAAGAGGGCAAGACTTGTGTTGCTAAAGAAGAAGCATGATGGTGATGATAGTGCGCCCAATGCATACAGACCCATATGCCTGCTGGACGAGGTGGGGAAGCTCTTCGAAAGGGTTGTTGTCTCCAGGGTGAGCGAGTTTCTCGATTGTGGAAATATTCTTTCTCTACGTCAACATGGTTTCAGGGTGGGACATTCTACCCTCGGAGCCATTAGGAAGTGAAAGATTAAATACAGAAGTGCGCGAGTAATGGACGGGTTGGAGTGCTGACTTTACTGGATATCAGCAATGCGTTCAACTCGCTCCCTTATGAGACGGTGATAGAGTCAATGGTGGGAAGTGGCTTCCCCACCTATCTTGTAAATATCATTAAAGATTATTTTCGTGACCGGCTCCTGTCCTTCATCGGAAGGCAGGGCACTGTATACAATGTTAGTGTGATGTGTGGGGTTCCGCAGGGCTCTGTCCAAGGCCCCACACTTTGGAATATTGCGTATGATAGGGTCCTCCGAGTTTCGCTGCCGGGGGGGTCTCGTGTGGTTTGCTATGCTGATGACACGGCCCTCCTTTCAGCATAGCGGGATCTGTCTTGCGCAATATCAACGGCTGAAAAGGATCTCGAGGTCCTTGTGAATGAGATTGAGGGATTAGGCCTAAAAGTGGCGCTGCAAAAAACGGAGGCAATGGCCTTCCCTGCCTCTGCCTTACGCAGACGCAGGATTGCTCCTCCCCCTGTGAATAGATACAGGGGGGTTTGTGTTGTAGTGAAGCCCAGTGTGAAATACCTGGGCATAGTTTTAGATTCAAGTATGTAATTTAGGCCCCCCTTTAGGGCTTAAATCCCGAAAGCGGAAGGGATCCTTCAATCTATTGGGAGAATCCTTCCGAATCTCCACGGGCCGAGGGAGAAGAAGCGGCGTCTCTACAGTAGCGTGATCAACTCCGTGTTCCTTTATGGTGCTCCGGTGTGGTAACGCGCTGTTGTGGAAGATCAGAGGATCATGAGGGCTGTTCGAGCCTTGCAAAGAAGGGTAGCGATCGGGGTGTGTTGCGCCTATAGGACGGTTTCCTTTCATGCGGCAATGATGTTTGCGGGAGTCATTCCCCTTGACCATTTGGCGTCGCGACTGGCGGAAGTGTATGTACACTTTAAGAATGCAGAGGGATCTGTCTCTCCAGATATTAGGGCGGCACTGGACGCTTTTGCCAGGATGGGGGTGATTGCCGCATGGAAGGAGGAGGAGATCAGGTTATTAGAAGTTACAGGAGAGACAGGGTTGCGGGTTAGGGCCGCCATTGCTGACAGGTTGGATGAGTTTGTTGGGAGGCCGTACTCCATAGGTACGACCTTCTACACCACTCAGCTGATGACTGGCCATAGCTGCTTTCCCGCGTACCTGTATGGAATCAGAAGAACAGACTCCCCGCGGTGCTTTTATTGCGAAGCGGATAGAGACGATGCGGAACACACTCTGATCGAATGCCCAGCGTAGTCGAATGCAAGGGATTCCTTGGTCAGAGAGTTAGGGAGGGTGCAACTTACCCTTCCAGGGATAGTCAGGTTGTCCCTGAATACCTCGGGGGCGTAGTTGGCATTCCAGTCCTTTTCAGGACTTGTGATGAAGGCCAAGAAAGACGCAGAGAGAGAGAGAGAGAGCGAGTTTTTCTCAATAAGAGAAGAGTGTGTGCGAGGTCGCAAAGGAGAGTAGCACCTAGGCGGCCCCCCCCGGGCGAGGCTTCGGGCAGCTTTGGCGGCGCCTGACCTGGTCTAGTGCGTCACTTCCCCTGTATAAGAGAAGTATGAGCATGCTGATGCATGGGATGAGTGAGCCCGACTAGTGCATCCTGGGATGGATAGTCGGGTATGTACATATATATAAATATGTAGTATAAGTAGTAGTTAATTAGTTAATAGTTAGTTAATTAGTTTGTTTCTTATTGAATAAGGTATGAGTGATGCGTAAATGAGGATAAGAGTATGGCGAACCGGCCAGGCTCATCGGAATGAAAGAGTAGGTGTGTTTGTAATGTGATCAATATCACGGATCCGTTTCCTTTTGTTCAACGAGTGAATGTTTTGCACCAGGTGGGTTTTTAGTCGGTAAAAATCCGACACTTCCTTGGGTACCGGGCCCAAGGAGCCTATTAAAGGTTTTCCCCCTGACGAAAAAAAAAAAAAAAAAAGGGTTGCGTCAGGGTTAGAACGTAAGGGTTGCTTTAGGTTTGGAAAATCGGGGTTGCTTTAGGGATGCGTCAGGTTTAAAACGTTTGGGTAGCTTTAAAGATGCGTCAGGTTTGGAACGTCAGTGTCGCTTTTGGGATGCGTCAGGGTTGGAACGTCAGGGATGCTTTAGAGAATTGTCAGGGTTGGAACGTCGGGATTGCTTAAGGGATGCGTCAGAGTTGGAACGTCAAGGTTGCTTTAGGGATACGTCAGGGTGGGAACGCTGAAGATGCTTTAGGGATGCGTCAGGGTTAGAACGTCGGGGTTGCTTTAGCGATGCCTCAGGGTGGGAACGTCAGGGACTTTACGGATGCGTCAGTTTTGAAACATCGAGGTTGCTTTAGAGATGCGTCAGGGTTAGAACGTC